TTCTCTGCCTGGTGTCTCCAGAAGGGATGGAAGACAGTCTTCTGAATATGCCATTAAACCGTCAGTTCAGGAATTGTGGTAGAAACTGGCATGAATGCCTGGCAGAGAGCAGGGCAATTTGTGGAGAGAGATCTAGCAGCTCTTCCAGCACAGCTTTGGTAGGGGAGTGACTGCCTCTCTAAAGGAAGTATGGTTCCAGGCCAGGCCTGGGGAGAGTGAACAGGTATGGAGGGATGGCAGACAAATTTCTTGGGTGCTGCTGCTCTTCTCTCACCAAAAGTACATGGGGAGTAATCCTGAGGTTGAGGAAAGATCATTCTTGGATCTGAAGTCAGGTTTGAGTTTGAGGGCCTAGCTCCACTGCTTATAAATTATGTGCCTTTGGGCAAAGACATTTAAGCTGTCTGAACTTTGGGATCTTCCTCTATAAAATAGAGCTGAAAAGAACTTACCCGCCTGCCTCATGGGATTCTCACAGGCTCACTGAGATAATAGATACAGTAGTGCTTTGTAAACCTCCAGATATGCCGCAGGTGCTAGGAAAGAGAGGATCCTTTCAAGTAACAAAGCTCTTTTGAGAAGGAGGTTGCCTTTGATGTAGATACTAAATTGTTGGACTTGATGCTATTGAAGACAAAGATGTCTGGTGAGACTTGGTTCATACTTGGCATTAGAGTGAGGAATGTTGACAACTCTGTCCCTTTGAAAGAGTAGTGATCCTGGCTCTATGCATGCATGTGCCTGTGGACGCAACAATTTCTCTGCCCTGTTTTGTCTGCTCTCTAGTTCTTTTTCTGTGCATGCTTCCACTAGATCTGACATAGGTATCCAAGGACATGGCTTAGAGTGTTAAGTGCCTGTAGAACTGAGAGGCTGATGAATCATTGTCCAAAGCATGGGCTGGGAGAAAGAGATTTGCCTCAGACCAGATATAATCTAGGCCCTTGGTTTCGCCATCCAAGTTTAATCATTTGATGAACCTTGTTCAGTCATTCATCAGTGCAATAAATTTATATTAAACATCTTGTATTTCTGAGTCTATATCCTGTTTCTTTTCCTGAACAGTTAAACCTCCGCCAAGCTTGTCCAAGACAGAATACCACAATCCTGTGAAGTTTGTAGCTCTTTGTACATTACAAGGCCTTTTGCATGGCTCTTCTTAATCCTCTCAATAACACTGTAAAGTATAAAATATAATTTATATGCACTTTAAGTTAGGCTGGCTGGGTTGCAAAGAGATTAAGCAACCTGCCTAAGGTTGTATAGCTAGTAAGTGGTGGATTCAAGATTAAAACATAGTTTCTGGTTCTGGCATCCCCGTGCCATCCCGTAACAGGACATGAAGCAAACTGTGCCTTGTCCATGACGAAGGCCAACAATTGTTAGGATGTACGCTTTGTGTTATGGTTCGAGTACTAAGGATGTATTCATAGAGAAACTCGTCCACCCCCAGGTCCATTCTGGTCCCTCTGGTGATCAAGGGCCAACATGCATGAGACAGAGAGACTAGGTAGCTTCCCATGTGTTAGCCAGGAAAGAAGAGGTTTTCTCTATCAGAAGCAGAGCTCTGTTCGCATCCTTTGCCTTCATTAGCACACATTTGCTGCTGTAAGGCACTGAGCTTTCCACCTGTGACTGAATTCATTTACATTCATTTCTCTGAAAAAGCCTAGACCTCTGGATTGGAAGTTTTTCTAAGTGCTCCCTCCCCCACCATCATACCCAGCACTTGTCTCTGCTCTATTGGGATTTATATTTTAGGAAGAGAATTAGGTGACTTCATTTGTCAGGGTAGGATTTATTCGTTGTAACCTCTACCACAGCTACTGGAGCTTATTACTCATTCTTCTGTAATGTGTTCCTGCTAAATGCTGGTAGCTGCATACTTCACAGTCTTTTTCACAGTTTCTATGTTTTAACTGTATATTAATGATTCCATTTTGCAGAGTGATAATGTGATGATGCTTTTTCTTTTCAGGGCTGAAAAGGTTTAGAGATTTTTGCCTGATGTGGCTTCTAATTAGGATGTAGTTTAGATGTAAGCATCGATTTCTTCTTTTCAAACAAAGGGAAAACACCTCAGCAATCATCCAGCAAGCACATTAGGCCTGAAAAGAAAATGATTTTCCCCTCCTACTCCTCATCTTTCTTATGTTTGTGCTTTCTTCCTCTATTTGGCTGCTCACAAGTACACCAAAAGCATCTGACTCATGGCAAAGGAACCGCAAAGTTCCTTTCTTCAAAGTTCTATACTTTACAGTAATAATATAAAGTATTACTATACTTTAAAGTTCTAATCTTAAAAGTTCTATACTTTAAAGTGGGGGAGGTGGGTTCGTCATGTGAGCCTGTTCTGGCATCTGCAAGCCTCTGTCTGTCTGAGCTCTGTTGATTTCCAAGGGCTATTTTTGACCTGAAATCTGGGGAATGAGTTTAGATGTTCTACAGTGGTGGTGGGGTAAAGTGATTCCATCTAGCGCTGACTTTCTTTGAAGCTATCCTGAGAGTTTGTCCTCCTTCAATGGGAATTGAACTTTTTTCTCCGACACGCAGATGAAGATGACCCTTGCTTAATCTCCATTCGAAGAATATTGCTTACCTGCTTGGCATCTGTACCTATGACTACATGCATCTATGAAAACCACTTCCTTTGGGCACCTCTTTAAAAATTTTTTAAATTTTATAATATATTTTATTTTTTGGGTGGTTTTAGGTTCACAGCAAAATTGAATGGAAGGTACAGAGATTTCTCATGTATCTCTTACCCTCACTCATGCACAGCCTCCACCATTATCAATATCCCCCCCCAAATGAGTGATACATTTGTTACAATTGATGAAACTACATGGACACAATATTGTCACTCAAAGTCCGTAGTTTACATTAGGGTTCAGTCTTGGTGTTATACCTTCTATGGGTTTGGTCAAATGTATAATGACATGTATTCACTGTCATAGGATCATACAGAATAGTTTGCTATCCTAAAAATCTGTGCTTTGCCTATTCATCCCCCTCAACCCTCTAACTCCAGGCAACATTTGATCTTTTTGTCTCCATAGCTTAGGCTTTTCTAGAATGTCATATGGTTAGAATCATACAGTAAGTAGCCTTTTCATATTGGCTTCTTTCACATAGCAATATACATTTAAGTTTCCTCCATGTCTTTTCATGGCTTAATAACTCATTTCTTTTTAGCACTGAATAATATTCCATTGTCTAGATGTACCACAGTTTATTCATTCATCTACTGAAGGACATCCTGGTTGCTTCCAAGTTTTGGCAATTATGAATAAAGCTACCATAAATATCGATGTGTAGGCTTTTGTGTGGGTATAAATTTTCAATTCATTTGAGTAAGGAGCATGGTACTAATTATACCAAGGAGTATGATTGCTGGATTGTATAGTAAGACTATGTTTAATTTTGTAAGAAATCATGAAACTGTCTTCCACAGTGGCTATACCATTTTGCATTCTCACCAGCAATGAATGAGAATTCCTATAGTTGCAGAATCTTACCACATTTGATGTAGTTAGTATTCTGTATTTTGGCCATTTGAGTAAGTGTGTAAAGATGTCTTATCGTTTCGGCTGTGCACGGTGGCTCATGCCTGTAATCCCAGCACTTTGGGAGGCCAAGATGGGTGGATCACTTGAGCTCAGGAGTTTGAGACTAGCCTGGGCAATATAGTGAAAGCCCATCTTGACAAAATATGCCAAAATTAGCCAGGCATGGTGGCTCATGCCTGTAATCACAACTACTTGGGAAGTTGAGGCATGAGAATTGCTTGAACTCGGGAGGCAGAGGTTGCAGTGAGCTGAGATCATGCCACTGCACTCCAGCCTGGGTGACAGAGTGAGACTCCGTTTAAAAACAAAACAAAACAAAACAAAAAACTTACTGTTTTCATTTGCATTTTCCTGATGATATAAGATGTGGAGCATCTTTTTATGTGTTTACTTACCATCTGTTTATCTTCCTTCATAAAGTACCTATTAAGCATTCTGGCACATTTTAAAATCGGATTTAATTCTCATTTTTGAGTTTTAGAGTTCTTTATGTATTGTGGAAAACAATATTTTATCTGATTTGTCTTTGAGAAATATTTTTTCCCATTTTGTGGCTTGCCTTCTCATTCTCTTGACAGTGTCTTTCACAGAGCAGAAAATTTTAATTTTAGTGAAATTTGACATGTCTGTTATTTCTTTTCTTGTGCCTTTGGTGCTGCAACTAAACAGCCATCACAAAACCCAAGATAATCTAGATTTTCTCCTAAGCTTTCTTCTAAAAGTTGTGTGGTTGTGTTTTGTGTTTAAGTCTTTAATCTATTTTGAGTTAATTTTTTTCAGAGTTGTATGGTCTGTGTCTAGTTCATGTTTTTGCATATGAATATCCAGTTGTCCAAGCACTATTTGTTGAAAAGACTTTCTTTTCTCTATTGTTGCTTTTACTCCTTTATCAAAGATAATTAACTATATTTGTGTCTATTTCTGGGCTCTCTATTCTATCGCATGAATTTATTTGTTGATTGTCTTACCAATATTGTACTGTTGATTACTATAGCTTTTAATAGTAAGCCTTGAAGTCTGATTTTGTTCTTCTCCTTCAATGTTGTACTGGTTATTCTGGGTCCTTTGCCTCTCCATATCAACTTTAGAAGCAGCTTGTTGATGTCCATAAAATAACTTGCTGGAATTTTTATTGAGGTTGTATTAAGTCTACAGACCCATTTGGGAAGAACTGACATCTTGACAACACTGAGTCTTCCTATCCATGAACAGACTGCCTCTCTATTTATTTTGTTCTTTGATTTCTTTCATAAGAATTTTGTAGTTTTCTTCACATAGATCTTATATGTTTTTTGTTAGAGTTATAATTATTTTATTTTTAGTGTTGCTAATGTAAATGATACCATGTTTCTGATTTCAAATTCTACTTGTTTATTGCTGACATATAGAAAAGTAATTTTTATGTGTTAACCTTATATTGTACAACTTTACTATAATAATCTATTAATTCCAAAAGATTTTTTGGCAGTTCTTTTAGATTTTCTGCACATATAATTATGTAATTTGCAAAACAATTTCTTTCCTCTCAATCTTTATACCTTGTGTTTCTTTATCTTATTGCATTAGCTAGGAATTTCAGCATATTGAAAAACAGTAGTGAGAAGAGGCATTCTTGTATTTTTCCTAATGTTAGTGGAAAATCGTTGAGGAAGTTCTCCTGTATTCCTACGTTACTGGGAGTTTTTATTAGAAATAAGTATTGGATTTTGTCATATGCTTTTCCTGCATCTATTAATATATGGTTTTTTATTTTTAGCTTGTTGATGCAATGGATTGCATTAATTAATTTATGAACATTGAACTAGCCTTGGATATCTGGAATTCCACTCGTTTTTGCTGTATAATATTTTTATTCATTATTGGACTGAATCTGCTAAGATTATATTGGGAATTTTGCATCTCTGTTCATGAGAGACATAGGAGTGTAGTTTTCTTTAATGTCTTTGTTTTGTTTTGGCATTAGTGAAATGCTGGCCTCCTACTATGAATTTGGAAGTATTCTATCTTTTGAAAGTGATTATAGATAATTGCTGTATTTTATTTCTTAAATGTTTGATAGAGTTCACCAGTGAACATATCTGGGTCTGGTGCTTTCTGTTTTAGAAAGTTATTAATTATTGATCCAATTTTTAAATAGATATAAACCACTCCAGATTGTTTATTTCTTCTTGGATGAGTTTTGACATATTGTGTCTTTCAAGAAATTGGTCATTTTCATCTAGGCTATCAAATTGATGAGCATAGTGTTGTTCAATGTATTTCTTTATTATCCTTTTAATGTTCATGAGGTCTGTAGTGATATACCTACCTTCATATCTGATATTAATAATTTATGTCCTCTCTCTCTCTTTTTTAAAATTAGCCTGGCTAGAGGCTTATGTATTTTATTGCTGTTTTCAAAGAACCAGCTTTTGGGTTTTTTGATTTTTTAAAATTGATTTTTAAATTTTATTGATTTCTGCTCTAATTTTTATAATTTCTTTTCTTTTTGCATTTAACTTGGTCTTCTTTTTCTACTTTCCTAAGGTGGAAGCTTAGCTGATTGATTTTAGATCTCTCTTCTTTTCTAATATAGGTACTCAATGCTATAAATTTTCCTCTATACACTGTATTTGCTGCCTCCCACAAATTTTGATAAGTGTTTTGTTTTTGTTTTTATTTGGTTTGAAGTATTTTGAAATTCATTGGAGATTTCTTCTTTGACTCATGTGTTATTTAGAATTATGTTTATTCTCCAAGTTTTTCAAGATTTTCCAGCTATGTTTCTGTTGATTGCCAGTTTAATTCTTTTGTGTGATCTGAGAGCAAACATTATATCATTTGTATTCTTTTAAACTTGTTAGGATGTTTTTTACAGCCCAGAGTATGTTCTGTCTTTGTGACTGTTCCATGTGAGCTTGAGAAGAATGTGTATTCTGCTGTTCTTGGGCAAAGTAGTCTCGACATGTCCATTTTATCTAGTTGACTAATGACGCTGTGGATTTCAATGGTGTCCTTACTGATTCTCTGTCTTCTGGGTCTATTTTTTAATAGAAGGGTATTGAAGTCTCTAATAATAATAGTAGATTAATCCTCCTTGTAGTCCTATCAGTTTTTGCCTCATGTGCTCAAAACTCTGCCGTTAGGTGCATACTCATTAAGGATTATTATATCTTCCTGGAGAATTGATCCCTTTATTACATAATTTGGCACCTTTTAAAAGCCAGTATCTAAATGATTGTTTTTAAGCTGCAGACTTACAAGTTCAGATATAGCCAGCATACATAAATAATTGTGTATAATATTGAATTCAAATACCAGATTTATAATTCAGGATGAGAATTAGATGACTTTATTATTTATACATTTAATTAATTTCTTGCATTTATGTTTGACTTACGTTGTTAATGACAGAAGGAAAGAGATGATTCATTTATTCATTATCACCTGTGTGTCAGGTGGTATTATGATGGAAATACAATCATAAGCAAGAGAGGCAGGATCCCTGCCATCTGGAGCTAATGGCCTAATGTAGAAAACAATTAATAAATAATATTTATTCCTGGTGTTAGGGGAGCTCTGAGTACACAGGCTATAGATATCTTTATATTTTCTTCAGAGTTGTGCAGTGATATGTACATAGGACAGTTATTTCTATAATAAATGGATTGAATAAATTGTATGGATTAGTGCAGTGAAAATGGGAGCAGATTTTGGGAGGTGCTTTTGTATAATGATGGAGGTGCCATCATTGTCAGTAATGTTGCTCATGAAGCTGATGGTCCTGATGCAAGTGTGGAAAATGGAGCATCATATCATCAATGTGAAGGAAGTGCATTCTTTGCCATACCTGCTTTGGCTATCTGCCCAGTTCCTGAGATTGTGGCATCATTCATCTTCCCTCAGGGCAGCTGAGACTCAGAGCTACTTTCCTTGTTGTTTTGCCCACCTATGAGACTTTCTGTGAGACTGCAGTCAGTGTCCTGCTTTGGACTCCAGCAGCCCAGTCTTCCATGTTGCACCTAGGTCCCTGTTCTATTCCTCTCTTCTTGCTCATATGAGTGAACATCAACTACAGCTCTAATTAGTAAATTTTTAGAAAACAGTTTTCCACCTCCAAAAGCAAATGGCATTTTTTGCAAACAAATCATTTGTCCTGATTGGTGAACTATGGGTTTCAGGCTTTGTGGTGATTACTTTTTTTTTTTTTTTTTTTTTAACTCAGAGGATTAAAGTCATCCTAAATTGACTTAGATCTCCCTCAAGAAAGAGAGAAATACCTGTGAGCTCATTATCTTTGAGGCTGAGAGGTAAGGTTAAATGCTTGGGTAGGCACGGTAGAGAAGGCAATCTTGTATACTTGATCCATTTTGAGTTGATTTTTACTGTAATCCTCTAGAGGCAGAACAAATTATGCCTGCATTTGGCCATGCACTTAGAGAGGTATAATGGCATTTAGTGACGCTAAGGGTGCTATGGGTTTCCATGAGAAAACTAGATGTCCTTCACTGCTCCATACAGAGCTGAGCACTTTGTGCTACTCATTGCTTTACAGCTCCTTGAAAGAATAGGGATTGCACTGGTTTCCTCTTCAGCTTGTTTATGTTAAATGCTGTCCCATTTTCAATGCCTCTCAAGAGAAGCTCATAAAAGCAAAGACCCCACAGAGATAGGAGAACCTCAGGGGACCTCTGTAGATGTGAGAAGAAGAGCATTTAAAAGATTTCAATTTTACCCATAGACCTAGTTAGCCCTGGCTGTAGTATAATTTCAGGGAATATGTCATAACCTGCCCCATTACGGCAGAGTGAAGAATTGAATCCTAGGGAAATGGGAAGAAGAACTTTTCCTACTGTTAAACAGCCAGATTCCCAGGAGTGGCTGTCAGCTGAAATGGAGAAGGCAGAGAGACAAGTAGATTTAGGATGGGAGGAAAGAAGATGAAGGATTCAGGTTTGGAATTATAAAGTCTGAGATGCCAAACAGATGTTTCCAGGGTTCTTTAATCTGATCTACTAATCTTTGTATATCACTGTATCCACATCTACTGCTTTAATTAATATAGACATTTACTATATTTTAACTGGTGGGTTAGTTCTCTTCTTTGTTATTCTTTTAAAAGTTGTTTTAATTGGCTAGGCATGGTGGCTCACGCCTGTAATCCCAGCACTTTGATAGGCTGAGGCAGGCAGATCATGAGGTCAAGAAATCAAGATGATCCTGGCCAACATGGTGCAACCCCATCTCTACTAAAATACAAAAATTAGCCAGGCATGGTGGCGTGCGCCTCCAATGCCAGCTACTCAGGAGGCTGAGGCAGGAGAATTGCTTGAACCCAGGAGGCGGAAGTTGCAGTGAGCCCAGATCGTGCCACTGTACTCCAGCCTGGTGCCTGGAGACAGAGCTAGACTGTGCCTCCAAAATAAATAAATAAATAGTCTTAATTTTACTGATTTGCTAATCATGATGACTCTTTGTTCTTACTGTATTTTTTGGACCTTTGGTGGAATATTGAACAGTAGCGGTCATACAGGTTTTCTCGTTTGTTCCTGACTTTAATGGGAAAGTTTTGAAATTTTACCATTGAGGGTAATGTTGACTCTAGGTTTCTGATAAGACATACTCTCTGGATTAAAGCAGTGCCTTTCTAATCTTGATTTCTTAAGAATAATTCATGAAAGTTTCATCAAATGCTTCTTCTGTATTTCTTGTGAAGAATTATATGGTTCATTTTAATTCTTAATACGGTGAATTACATTGATGGCTGTCTATTTCTCTTCTTTTCTTTCTCCGTCCTTTCTTCCATTTCCTCCTCCCTTCCTTCCCTTCAAATATAGGGAATTGAACTAATCATACTCCTGAGTGTATGGAATACTATCAACCTTGGTGTTTTTCTTTGTTTGTTCTTACCTCCTTAAATGACCATTCTGCCTTCAATTTGTATATTTAGAGATATATGTATCCCTGAGAAATATGCAGTGGGATATAGGTATATGTAGGGGTATATGAGCTTAATTTACTTAAAAGGTATTGTGCTATGAATGTATATATTTTTTGTTCAACACTATGATCTTTGGTATTATAGCTATGCAGATATATATATGTATGCTGCTGTATGTATATGGATATGTGTATACTGCTAAAAGAATATAAAAATCTTTTGTATTGTGTCTGACATGGTTCTGCACAATATTCACGCTATCCAAAATGACTACATTTTACTTATCTAATTCCCTAGTTGTGGACTTCGGTTTCCTCTGTTGCCTTGTACCAAGTGCTGCTCATGTTTCCATAGGACCTTTGAGAGAGTTATTCTGGATTATATACAGAAGAAAGTGTGGCATGTTTGCCAGATTTTCTAATATTGGCCACTTCTTATATTTCTAGGATAAATCCTGCTTAGTCATAGTATTAGGATGCTTTCAGCTATAAATAATAGAAATATCTAACTTCAATAGTCTTAAACAGCAGGAAAATTTATTCTCTTATATTGTGAGATGCCCTAATGTACAGCTTCTTAACACTGTTTAATTCAGTGACTCAAAGACAGCATCAGGTTTCTTCTGTCTTTCCTGTCCTTCACCTCTACATGAGCATTGCCCTTTGCCAGACTTACAGCTACGTGCAGCTGCTCCAGTGCCCAGCAGATGTAGAAGACTTTTTTTTCTTTGACTCCTTTTAGAAGTGAGAAGCTTTTCCAAGAAGCTTCTATTCTCCAACCTCAGTAGACTTTCCTTTGTGCTTCATTGACCACAATTATGTAACATTCTCAGGACTAAACTAATCCTTAGCCTGGTACTAAAACTATCGAAACTGAGTTAGACCAGTGACTCAAACTGGGATGCTTATTGGAATCACCTAGAAGCTTTAAGAAATGATTTAGAGCCTCTCAATTCCAATTAACTCGATTATATTTACAACATTTTATCTAAATTTTTTTTTACTATCTCATGGTCTATTGTAATTATTGGTCTATTTGACTTTTTGAAATTCTTTGTCTTATTTTTATTAATCTCCTTATGTTTATTTATTACCAACTGTATCTGGAGTAATTTCTCTTGATTCACATATTATTTTTGTATTTTTGTTTCTTTTTATGTCTTTAAATCAGAGGCATAAGAGGGGAGCCCCAGGGGCGGGCCTGGTGGCTCATGGCTGTAATCCTAGCACTTTGGGAGGCTGAGTCAGGAGGATGGCTGGGGTCAGGAGTTCGAGACCAGCCTGGCCAACATAGTGAGACCCTCCCCATCTCTATAAAAAGTGAAAAAATAAACTGGGCTCAGTGGCATGCACCTGTAATCCCAACTACATGGTAGGCTGAGTAGGGAGAATCACTTGAGCCCAGAAGTTGAAGCCTGCAGGGAGCTATAATTTTCCTATTGAACACTAGTCTGGACAACAGAGTGAGATGTTGTCTCTCCAAAAAATAAATAAATAAAAATTATTTTTTTTAAAAGAGAGAAACTCCCAACTATTTGAACACATTTCAAATCTTTGTTCATGATACATCTTCTAATATCTCATTCTTCATAGTCATATGGTCAAGTTGAAAGTCAAGAAGCAGAGGATTCTTTTACATATAAGTCCACTGCAAGGGAATGGATAATATTGTTTAGGGAAAGCAAGAAGTAACACCAGTAATTTAATCTACCACCAGTAGGAAATGAAAAATTACAGTTCAATGGTCATGGTAGCTAAAAATAAGAAAATGGGCAATTCTGTCAAAAGCTACAGAAAGCCAAGTAGGACTTGAAAGGACTAGTAGGACTTTGAAAATAATATTTAACATGGCTTAGAGGTGATTGGGAACTTTTACAGAAAATTAAAGTGTTGAGAATACAAGCTTGATTAAAGGGAATTAAGAATAAATTGGGTTGAAGTGTTATAGAAATGAAAAACCATGTGATATGATTTGGATCTGTGTCACCACCCAAATCCTATGGGGCCTGGTGGGAGGACTGGATCATGGGGGCAGAGTTCTTATGTATGGTGTAGCATCATCTGCTCAGTGCTGTCCTCATGATAGTGAGGAAGTGGATTTCCATGAAATCTGGTCATTTATAAGTATGTAGCACCTCCTCACTCACGCTCTTGCTCCTACTCTGCCATGTAAGATACTTTGCTTCCCCTTCACCTTCTGTCATGATCGTAAGATTCCTAAGGCCTCCCTAGAAGTTGAGCAGCTGTCGGCATCATGCTTCCTGTACAGTCTGCAGGACCATGAGCTAATTAAACCTCTTTTCTTATAAATTACCCCGTCTCAGGTATTTCTTCATAGCAATTAAAGAATGGACTAATATACTGTGTTTATGACGAGCTGGAAAAGGGAAGAAAAGAACACACCCTTTTGTAAAATAGGAAAAAACTCAGAATGTTTAAAAGCAGAAGTGAAGGGAGATTGAAGCTTCTTTGCTAGTAATTAGGGAATAATTATAACCTCAGGTCAGTCAGAGGGATGGTATGCGGAATGTATGGAAAGACTAGTTTTAATCATCATCATTGTCATCATAGCTAACATTTATTAAGCATTTATCATGATACAGGCACTATATAAAGTACTTAACATGGATTATCTTGCTTAATCTTTAAAAATTACATGAGATATGCAGAATATATTTTCCCTAATCTACAAGTATGGAAACAAACTCAAAGAGAGTAAGTAAATTGTCTGGAGCTGTCCAGTTATTAAGTGTCAGAGTTCGTGTCAGACTCTAATGGCAGCATTGTTCATCTTAAAGAAGGATGGGTTGAAGTGAAGATGATATACCCTTAAGCCGAATGATCTCCTTCCTATGAATTGTACTGGTGCTGAATAGAGAGAGAAAAAGGCAACTACAGTGGGAAGAATATATAAGTATCATTGAGAACTAAGGAGATATTAGAAAGAGTCACTCTGTAATGAACCAGTTCTCATCTCCCTCTGTCAGGAATCTTCAACTTGACTACAGATACCGAGAAACTAAGAGGAACTAAGGTTTCAGACTTAATGTGTCTACTAATGAAGCATGACTAGTAAGATGCTGGGACCAGGATAAGAACATTAATGAAAAGCTACCTGATTAACAGAGGCTAAATCTGTTAGCAGAGATGTGAGTATATTTAAAATAGATGAGTGAGGGCACCTGGGTGACACTGATCGCAGAAGGGGAAAAAAGAGTCAGAGAATCTCACCTAGGAGAGTACCCTGTGCTTTTTTCATTTCAATTCTTGAGCTGGAAAACCCAAAGTGTTCTTTGTTCAGATATATTCATTAGACCTAAATCAAGCGTTGGATACTGCACAACAAAGAGAGAGCATTGGAGTGGAGGCATAGGGGTGAGGATGGAAAGAGGGACATTAGATTTTTTTTCACTGTATTAACATAGATAATATCAATGACTTCTACTTCCAGACATGAGAGAGTGACTGGAGTTAGACTTACCCTCTTACTGTAAACAACTAGAAAACCAGTCAAAAATCTATGAAAAAACTCCTTTTGGTGATTAGAAAGTACAGTTCTATGACTCCTCAGAGAAGGGAAACAAATGAAATAAGCCCTATGATAATACCAGCTTTCTGCCAGGAGATACTTTCTGGACCATAATACAGACTCAAGAAGAGCATGATATCACTGAGTTGAGAAGACAAAAGTTTGAATTTGAAGCAGCTGAGTGGCTGGAATGTGTTCAGTAGAGAAAATGCTGAAGATCTTTATACAGTGCCTCTTGCAACTATGGCTGACTGTGATATGTAGGCCGAAACTGCATAAGCCAGGCAAAGAATTACCAGGTATCTGTAAGCTGAATATTTCTAGAGGCAATACAGGGCTGGTAGAACTTTGAGTTATTACCAGCCAGGGTTTAGGGTCCTTGATTAATATTGAGGGCATTCCAAAATAAGTCACAGCTTAGTTATAGGGCTAAATAAGCCCTAAAGTCTATTTAAAAGTTTTAATAAAGCTTAAAAAAGGATCACCCTAATATGTAAATAAGTTTACTGCCAGTCAGAATACAGTTCAACATCCATTAAAGAGGACATTTAACAATATGAAGGCACAATGTCTAACATCCAATCCAAAATTACCAGGCATACCTAAAAGCAAAAACAAACAAAAAACAAAAAATCATGACCTATAACTAGGAGAAAAATCAGTTAACAGAAGTAGACCTAAAATGACAGAGAAAATAGAATTAACAAACAAGGTCTTTAAAACAGCTGTTGTAAATATGTATGTAATTGGAGTCCTAGAAAGGAAGAAGGGCAGAAAAAATATCAAAGAAATGGCAGCTAAAAACTTTTCATATTTTATGAAAATTATAAACTCACAGATTCGAGCAGCTCAACAACCCCAAGAAGTATAAACACAAAATAAAATCACACCAAAGGAGTTAATGATTAAATTACTGAACAAAATTGATAGAGAAAATTTTAAGAGCTGACAAAAAACATACAGAGGAACAAAGATAACACTACTCACATATGTTTTGTCAGAAAATTTTAAACCAGAAAAAAATGAAATTACATCTTTAAAGATCTGTAACAAAACAGCAAACTGTCAACCTCAAATTCTATATCAAATAAAAATACCATTCAAAAAGTAAATATGAAATAAAAACAAGTCAAACAAAAGCTGACAGAATTATTCACCAGCAGACCTAAAATGCAAGTTCTTCAGATGAAAGGCAAATACTATCAATGAAACTTAGATCTATATAAATGAAGGAGGAGCATCATGCGTGGATACATGCAAAGAATAAACAGCAAATTCCAAAAGGTTATATACTTTATGATTCCATTTATTCAAGATTCATGAAATGATGAAATTGTAGAAATGGAAAACAGATTAATGATTGGTAGGAGTTAATAAGGAGAGGATGAAAGGAAAGTTGGAAGGAAGTAGGTATGACTATAAAAGGGAAATGAGGACTCTGGTAGTGATGAAATGTTGTTAAGAGGATATTTAGTGGGGAAATAGTCTTTCAATAAATGGTTCTACAAAATTAGATACTCATATACAAAAAATGAACTTCAACCTTTGCTTTAAACTAGACTCAAAAATTAACTCAAAATAGATAGTATACTTAAACATAAATATTAAAACTATAAAACTAGAAGTTTTTTTTTAACATTGGAGTAGGCAAAGATTTCTTAGGACAAAATATTTGAAACATAAAAGAAAAAATAATACACTGGCTTTATCAAAGGCATTATTAAGAAAGACACCATTTAGAAAATGAAATTTGTAGCCATAGACTAGTCTGATAAGGGTTTGAATCCAGAATATATTAAAAAAGACTTATGCCACTCAATTAAAAGTAAATTTTTTAAATAGGCAAAAGATTTGGACAGACACATCACTACACACACACACACACGCACACACACACACACACACACGATGGCCAAAGGCACATGAAAAGATGCCCCCTCATCAAGGAAAGGCAGGAAAACTACAGTGAGATACCAACTATGATGAATAAAGTAAAGAGACTTATATATTATTGTTTGTAGGTATGTATAATAGTATTAACTTTTGGAAATCTGTTTGGCAGTTTCTTATAAAGTTAAGCATATGCTTATCATAAGACCTGGTGTTTCCACTTCTATTCATTTACCAAAGAGCAATGAAAACATATGTCCATGTAAAAGAAACTTGTATATCAGTGTTCATAGTAACTAAAATAAGGGAAAAAATCAAATGTCCTTAAGCAGATGAATGCAAAACAAATTTTAGTCTATTTATATAAGGGAATACTCTCAGCAATAAAAAAGCAGTGTATTAGAGATACCCATGACACATGGTTGAATCTCAAATATATTATCCTCAGTTAAAAAAATCCAGATCCCAAATAGTACATGCTGTAGGATTTAATTCATCTGAATTACTGCTATGGGAATTCTGAATACAATTGACACACTTCTTAGTGTAGTTGAAGATCATAAAGACATAACCCAACAGCTTGAGGGAATCTGCTTACAGGTCATTGGTACTGTTTTACAACAGCGTGTCTTAGAATTCTATGAGGAGATCTTCTGTTTAGCACATAGCTTGATATGTCAACAAGTGTCTCCACCGATGTGGCAGCTACTACCCCTTGTATTTGAAGTCTTTCTGCAGGATGGCTTTGATTACTTTACAAATATGAGTCCCCTCCTTCATACTCTCTGATACCAAGTATCTTGAAATGATATACAGTATGTGCTAAAAAAGATTCTTACAGGAGTTGCAGGAGAAGAGGCAGAGTGTCATGCACTGAAATTGTTGGAGGTCATTCTGTGGTGCAAAGGCTGTGGCGCTGACCAGTGCATTCCCTTGTTTGTGGAAGCAGCCTTAGAAAGACTGACAAGAGAGGTTAAGACAAGTGAACTTTGACTATGTGTGTGCAAGTTGCAATTGCAGCTTTGTAGTATAAACCACACCTACTACTCAATGCCTTAGAAAATCTTCGCTTCCCTAATAACGTTGAACCAGTTTTAAATCATTTTATTACCCAGTGGCTTAATGATGTTGACTGTTTCTTGGGGCTTCATGATAGAAGAAAGATGTGTGTTCTTGGATTCTGTGCTCTTGTTGCGATGGACCAGATACCCCAAGGTTTAAAGCAGGTTCCTGGACAGATTTTGCCAGCGTTTATCCTTTTATTTAATGGATTAAAAAGAGCATATGCCTGCCATGCAGAACATGAGAATGACAGTGATGATGATGATGAAGCTGAAGATGTTGAAACCAAGGAAGTGTGGGAGTGATGAAGATGATATTCATGAAGATGGGCAAGAATATTTGGAGATTTTAGCTAAGCAGGCAGGCGAAGATAGAGATGATGAAGATTGGGAAGAAGATGCTGAAGAGACTGCTATGGAAGGCTATTCCACAATCATTGATGATGAAGATAACCCTGTTGATGAGCATCAGATATTTAAAGCTATCTTTCAAACTATTCAAAATTGTAATCCTATGTGGTATCAGCCTCTGACTCATGGTCTTAATGAATTCAGAACAAAGAAAACAGTGACAGGACAAAGCAACTCTGGCTGATCAAGGAGGAGCAGCCCATGGATCCAAAATGATTGAGAAGCATGGGGGATATGAATTCAGTGCTCCAGTTGTGCCAAGTTCTTTCAATTTTGGAGTCCCAGCACCAGGGATGAATTGAGTTACCTCTTTCTTTCCTGCTGTGAGTGATTGTAGTGAAGAGCTTGTGTTCCTTCTAGTAGCGGTTCCAGAACTACGTTATCTATTCTAAGCTAATGATCAATAGATGAACAAAAACCCCAGCAATCCCAGGAGATGGGACCTGATCATGCAACCTGGCAATGGAAAAGGAACCAGCGGGATTTTGGGGATGGGGGTATGGGGATACCGTAGCGGGTGTATTTTCTTTATTTTTCAAAGAAAGTAAGATCCTAACTCTGAAGCTTCAAAGTGACACTGTGGAAATCTGAAACGAGGGAGTGACATGAAGGCAGCTTTTCTTTTTCTGAGGAAAAAAATAGGCATGGGCTACAGGACTATTTAAAATGTCTCATTTACAGTATAAAGCTCAAAGGTAGATGTAAGTTTTACACCTATGAGTATTTGTCCAATTTCTGTCTCTTCCTTACCACTGGGTATCTATTCTTTATATGTACATAAGATAATCTGATATCCTTATTCAATCTTCATCATTTTCATTCATCGTTGTTCCTATGTAGACTATTGGACATTTATTGTAGCACTGCATAATCAATTATAAAAATCTGTAAATGAATTAGCACTTTCATATTGAAACAAGCCTACTAGCCTATGCATCAAATAGCACAATGTTTGCTGTTTATAAAAAGATGTAATGGGATTGGGGGCAAGGGTAATTTCAAGTTATTAGTTTTAAAATGAACTAGAAATTTTGTACCTGGAGACTTTTTGGTTCACTCACCTCTGATAGGGACTTGAATTAGGTTTGTAAGATGGGGTTAGTGGTATGTCATTGCTGCTGAAAATGACAACTCTTTTTGTGTCCTGTTTTTCTTAAAGCTGTCAGTGTATAAGTGGGTTTCTGAATACCAGAACGTACTGTAAAAAATGATAAAGGTGGTATCTAGAGCATGAAAATCAGACATAAAGTTCTACTCTTAAAGAGTTGATCTAAGAGTATGGCTAGACATTTAGATATGCAGTCTATTAAAAGAACCTAATTTGGCTATTATGTCTTGATTTGATTGCAGTTTTTTCCTAATTATAACAATTTTTTTTCTCATTGGCCTGTTTTTAATCCTGTACCTAGAAATGCACCTAGAACAAAAATCCGGTACCTAGAACAAAATGCACACTTAAAAAACTGATATTTAACACTTACCCACTCCCCCTGCCCCATCTCTTCTACCCCTCTTGTTGATTGTGGTATCTGATCTTAATTAGATACGTCACATAGTTCCCTCCAGAAATCACTATTGAAACCACTGCAAAAACAAGCCAGCAAAAATACAGTGTAGAGGTTGGCTTGCTTCTCTCTCTTCCTAACTGCATGTTGAAAAATAAGCCTATATTGATCTTAAACATCTGTCAGATGAGTCATACATTGTGTTATTTTTTATATACATGTATACAGAAAATATTTCAAATTGAAAGCAACATCTTATTGGATTTAAAAGTATTACAAGCTGTTGTCTAAAACAGATGAGAAAATTTATAACTAAAAACCAAGGTACACATTGATTTTAAAATGCATAATTAAGAAAAAAATTTCGCACCACTGTACTTTGTCTCAGCCATGTGGACAAGTCATCCATTTGGGTGCATTTTCACCCTAGAATTCTGACTTCTTTCTGTTCAAGCCTTTACAGTGACCACCAGACAGTCCCCCTCATCCACACCCCCATGCTAACACTTCTATTGTTGCCTGGGAAACAGAATGAGACCTGTTTCAAAAAGAAAAGAAAATTCAAAGGTCTAGCCTTACACATAAACAAAATAGGCATCTATCCCCGTGAGTCATGATGTGGTTTTTAGAGTGCCTGTAAAGCCTCAGGCTCCCATATTTTTTCTCTGCTTTTGTAGGATCAAGCTCCCAGATATTTGAAATTTCTTTAGCAAGGGTAAAGTCTTCATTATAAAAGTACAAAATGTGTAGTTGCTGGTGTGAACAGTAACCTATTAACCTGTATGTGCTCTAAGCCAGCGCTTCTCAGATTTTAATGTGCATACAGATCACCTGAGGGTCTTGTTAAGATGCAGATTCTAACACAGCAGGCTGGGGTAGGCTCATGGCTTTGTATTTCTCATAAGCCTCCAGGAAGGTTCTAAGCTAGAACATGTCAACAGAGAGTGCATCCACCTTATCCATGATGCTATTAAAAAGTTAAGATTCGGGACCTCCATTATAGGCTTGCTAAATGAACACCTCCAGAATAAACACCAGGCATGAGTATTTTTTGTACACACACACACACACACCCCCACCCCATACCTCCTCTACCGGTGATTCCAATGTGCTTTTCTGGGTGAGAACCATTACCAAGGTTAGTTTATCTTGATGGGAATTTCTAATGTGGGGGTAGGGATGAGGGGGCACTGTCTGGTGGTCACTGTAAAGGCTTGAACAGAGAGGTTAGAATTCTAGGGTAAACAATGTGCCCAAATGGGTTATTTGTGCACATGGCAGAGATAGAGCTGGAGAATGAGGAAGAAGAGGCTGGGCAAATGTCCTTGCTCCGTTTGTGTTCTTGAGCTCAAATGTTTCATCTTGTTCAACTTTCTGATCACCTTATTCTTTGGGTAAGCTGCCCTAGCAGTCAGTGGGAGAAATAGTTTTGGGGTGAGGGCTAGGGAGGAGCAGCAAAAATCTACCCTTAATGCTCATTCGAAGAGCAAAGAGAACTGATGTTTAAGGTTTTTCCAGGGGGTGTTTCTGGTTCTCTTAACATTATGTGAGTGGGGATTATTCCAGGCAGGCTCTGGTTTGGGAGTGCTATGTGAAACATCCTTCACAGCAAACTTCTCTAAAGGAAACATCCTTCCCAGCAAACTCTTATGTTATTGATACTTATGTTATGAATGAGTTCAGTGAAAACTGTGGACTCTAGCTAAATATGGAAAACAGTTTTTAAATGGCAGCTGCCCAAAGGGTTTGGGAGTCTTCTTCTATAACAAGCTCAGTTGAGAACTTGAGATTTTCTAGGGAGGAACATTTGAAGGGGTCTTGGTGATGGAGGCAAAGTAACATGTACTGCAAGAGGCATAGATGACTCCAGAATGCCTGCATCACCGCCTGGTGCAGGAGATCACCTGCCAGCCAGGTGGCATAATAAGATTAAGAGTAAGCTAATTGCCTACTTTTTTAATGCTTGTGAAATTATTCTTTGCAAATAAATGAGCCACTCAGGCACAGCTCAAGTACTTGCAGTTGGGATGAAATCACTGCAGGGAGAAAGTACTAAGGGGAAAAGTGGGTTATATTAATAGCAGTGTCTAGCCCTCTTGACCATGTGTGACGCCATCACCAGCACTCCCAGCTGAGTCGTGACACTGCTGTAGAAAGACAGCAAGTAAGTGGAAAGGGCAGCAGACCCCAAATAGCATGAGTCTACTGTGACTAGGCATCGCTCTCCATGGTGCTAGTGGAGCAGCTTTCTGCTCTCTGGCTCAGTCTATATTCTTGATATCTACCTGCCCTATGTTTTATGTTTAGTTCCCAGCCTAAAGAAGGAGAATATGGTCAAGGCCACATCCTAAAAATTGACAGACATCTGCAGCCTGGACTTCACCTTCCTCCCCAGGTGGTTTTTGTAGCCATGGCCACAATGCCCACACCTTTGATGGAGCTATTAGCCACCGAAGCAGGTGGAATATTATTTGGGAACAGGGGAAATCAACTTTGCTTAGAAGCTTACAGTCAATAGTGAGGGATTTAAGAAAGGCTGGGTTCATGTATCTTGTCCTTTAAATTCTTTGTTTAAAAAATTGTGTGAGAGAGTGAGTGTCTTAATCCCCCTTCTGCAGTATTCCCTTCTCTGACTGTGGTTTCTTCTTCTGGCTGTCAGTGAGTGTTTTTGCCTGTAGCTGGCGATGTCTCTGGCCTGGGATGTGGACTTGTTCTGAAGTGGAGAAAACTTTAGCTGATGGTCTTGGAAGGAGACTTCCAGAACTTTCTCACACTCATACATTACCGTCCTTCATCACTAAACATTTCTATGTAGGTGATATCGTGTTAAAATGAATAAAAAGAAATTGCAAAGCGTAGAGTAAGAAGTGAGCCCCAGATATTTATCATCAGCTAAACATCTGTTGTCTGAATTATTGCTTCCCAGCCCAGGGTCTGTCATGATGCTCAAGCCAGGGCTAAGGTCAATTGTCTGGTTTTCTCTCTCTACATATATGAGCTCTCCATGGTGCTAGCGGAGCATTTGCATTCTCTGGCTAAATCTATATTTTTGATACTCTTACCTGCTCTGTTTTATGTTTAGTTCTTAGCCTGTAGAAGGAGAATATGGTCAAGGCCACATCCCAAAAATAGATAGATACCTAAAGTCAAGACTTCTCCCTGCTCTCCTGGTGGTCCCTGTAACATGGCCACAATGCCCACACCTTTCATGGGCCAGCCCCAGGTGGATGATGCACCTGGTTATCATTGGTTGTAACTGGTGGATAGCTACCACTTGCCAGCCTGGTGTCTAGACCTTCCAGACGTAATACCTGCCACATTTCTTAATATTCTGCTCTTCAAAAATGCTCCCAAAGCTGCCATGGGTAAAGATTGGCTCTGTAGATTCAGGTTTTGGGAGGCTGTGCCTCTGGTTATAGATTTTCCAGGTATTTTTCCTTTTCTGTATTGTTATTTTTGGCCATACTGGAATTAGGCTTTGATCATTCATCCTTTCTCTTGGACTAGCTGAATTAATCTGAAGCAATTTGTTCTCTGGCTCCCAGTTTCCTCATTTATACATTGAGTGGATACCCTTCTATTTTTGTTGCTCTGTGAAATGAGATATAAACTTTCTCATTATGACTTGATAATATATTGAAATGGGGAGGAGGAATGCATTATTGTGTAAAACAAGGTTTGTGGATTTTAAGTTAATGAGTAGATTCCAAATACAAAGGCTCCTTTCCTCTGAATTGATCATTTGCTGAATTTTTTCTACATAACATAGCATTATATTAGGGGAAGAATGTTTCTGGAATAACATGATTTTTGACCCTTTTTTTATTTCATCTGTGTGATAAAACTCATCAAGGTAATCAAACACATTATACCAAGAGATAAGACTTTGGTCTCATTTTCTAGCTTAGATAAATGCTTTTACTGCTAGAGGTATTAAAATGTCACCTGATTTGGAGTCATCAGTCTCCTAGAAGAAGAAATGAAAAAGCTCAACAAAGGATTCACAAGAGGCAGAAAAGAACTGGGCTGACTTTAACCAGTATGGTTTAGATCTGTAGGCAGAATTTAGACAAAGGTATTGATCAGAAAGACAGGACTAATAATGGATCCATTTGGCAAGAAAGATCCAAACCAAGTCATGGCAAGACCTGATAAATCTTCAAAGATTGTGTTTCTGTGACCCTGAGCTAGGGGCAGTTGCGGCTTTCGAAGCTCTTCAAGGTAAATGCTTCTCTAGTTAGTTGCACCCAGTCAGGCTGAGCCTGGGCTGTGTGGAGTGCCCTTGTCCCTGGGAGGAATACAATTGCTCACCAGGAGCCCTGGGGCCTCCTATAGGACAGAGTTCCCTGGAGCATTTGAGGTCCATTGGAAAGTTTCTGGCATTGTTGAGTCTCAGCAGGGTTGGCCTCTCATGACAAGCCCCAGCTCTCTCTGTTTATCATCTGCCTCAGTGGCCAAGCCTCTGGGGAGCAGTCTTGGCTGCAAGGACTTTGCTGCATCTCAAACTTGGGCCACCTTCCAAATCTGGCTTTCTATTATTTTATGCCTACTGTGCTCCATACCCTGGGATGGGGTGGCTTTAGCTATAATCTCTCTCTCTTTTTTTTTTTTTTTTTTTGTTTTAGACAGAGTCTCGCCCTGTCACCCAGGCAGGGTGCAGTGGTGCAATCTCAGCTCCCTGCAACCTCCACCTCCTGGGTTCAAACAATTCTCCTGCCTCAGCCCGCCCACCACCAAGCCTGGCTAATTTTTTTATCTTTAGTAGAGACACGGTTTTACCATGTTGACCAGGCTGGTCTCAAACTCCTGAACCTCGTAATCCACCCGTCCCAGTCTCCCAAAGTGCTGGGATTACAGGCGTGAGCCACTGTGCCTGGCCTAGATGTGATATCTTTTAAGCTACAGAGGCCCTGCCAGGTAGGTGTTATCTCTGTTTGACAGAAAAGGAAACTGAGACTCATAAAGGAACAAAAGTTTACATGGCTAGTAAGTGGCAGAGCTGGGGTTGAATCCATCTCTGTCTCATTCCAAATCCCTTGCACTTTTTTACTATAGCTGTGAAACATTATCTTGGAAAAGTGAACATTTTAGTTTTCAGTATGGCTATTCAGTGGCCTTACATTCATGCTTGATTTCCCCTGGAAAAGCTAGCACATGATGGGAATGTTGGAACTAGGGAAAGAATACAAGACAGGAGCCCCAAAAGAGGGAATCAGATTAGATGTGATATGAAACCTGTCTTCTGAGTATAAACAGATGGCAGAGTTCTGCCTAGAATTTCTACATTGCCTTTGGCTGTGTGGGTCTTTTTAATGGGATATCTAAGAAATTCTAACATCTTTTCTTAATGAGTAAAGCTAGTGTTTGTTCATGAAAGAAAGGGAGCCACGAAATGATTTTAACCTGTAACCTACAGAATGTTTGTACTTTAGAAGCATGTATTGTTTCCCTTGAGCCAAGCATGTTTGCCCAAATACCACTTAAATAGTGCATCTTTGTCTTTGGTTATGCCAAAGACAAAGGGGATACCCCTATGGATACCCAAAGGGTTATGCCACCGTATGGTGAGGTAGGCACTCTAAGGGTGAAATTCTCCTTCCACAGCATTTTATTTTGTGGTTCACAAAGGACAAGGGGCTCTTTAAAATTTATTTCCTCAGCAATTTGTGGTCTAGAATCATTAAAATAGAAGAGTTCCTAGAAGTCATTTAGGTTATAAATTAAAATTTACTCTCCTGGTCAAAGGAAACCTTCATGTGCAGCCCATGTTGATTGAGGGCCTACTGTGTGCTAGGCACAGTGCTGCGGCTTTGCAGGAGTTAGTTACTTGGCTTGGCTGCTCCCTCTCCAGCCTTCTCTCACACCACCTCCCCTTGCTTCCCAAGCTCCCAACTCCAAACACTTGAGCTTTGCTGAGCTATTGAACATGCCAAGCCCTTCCTTCCCTCTGGGCCTTTGCCTATGCTGTTCCTTCAGCCTGGAATCCCCTTCTCCACTGTTTTCTCTGATGGCTTTTCCTCCTGTCTCACACATACTCCCCTTACAGTCTACCCCCAGAGCGGGGAAAAGCCTCCTTCTCCATCTTGCTTTCTTTCTAAGCAGTTTTTAATCCTTACAAACACTTCTAATTTTTAAATATATATTTGTTTCCTGATTTACTCTCTTGCTTTTCCACTAGTCTTTATACTGTGTGGAGGCAAAGGCCAAGTCTGATTTGTTCACCAGAATGTCCTTCGCATTTAGCATGATTCCTGGCATGTAGTAGGCATGGACTCAGGAAATACAGTCATGTGCCACGTAACATTTCACTCAGCAACAAACCATGTAAAGGATGGTGGTCCCCAAATGTTAGAATACCATATTTTTACTGTACCTTTTCTATGTTTAGGTGTTTGTAGATACCCAAATACTTTTCTTTTTTATTGTACTTTAAGCTCTGGGGTACATGTGCTCATCCTGCAGGACTGCTGCATGGGTACACATATGCCATGGTGGTTTGCTGGCTCCATCACCCCTGTCGCCTGCATCAGGCATTTCTCCCAGTGTTATTCCTCCGCAACCCCCCCACCCCCTGCTGTCCCTCCCCTCCCCTGGCCCCCCACCTCCTAATCTACCCCCGTGTGAGATATTATCCTCCCTGTGCCCATGTGTTCTCATTGTCCATCACCCCACTATAAGTGAAAACATATGGTGTTTGGTTTTTTGTTCTTGTGTCAGTTTGCTGAGAATGATGGTTTTCAGATTCATCCATGTCTCTACAAAGGACATGAACTCACCATTTTTTACGGCTGCATAGTATTACTTGGTGTATATGTACCACATTTTCTTTGTCCATTCTATCATTGATGGGCATTTGGGTTGGTTCCTCGTCTTTGCTATTGTAAACAGCACCACAGTGAACATACATGTGCATGTATCTTTATAATAGAACGATTTATAATCCTTTGAGATACCCAAATACTTACCATTGTATTATAACAGCTTACAGCATTTAGTACAGTAACACGGCATACAGGTTTGTAGCCTAGGAGCAATAGGTTATACCATACAGCCTGGCGATATAGTAGGCTGTCCCATCTAGATTTGTGTAAGTATACTTTATGATGCTCACACAAAGATGGAATCCCCTAAAAATGTGTTTCTCAGACTGCATCTTGTTGTTAAGTGATACATGACTATATATTAATTTTTGAATAGACATTATCTCCAGTTGATGAAACTAAAGGTCAGAGAGGTAATGTGACTTCTCAAAGTTACCCCCCTAGTGAATGGCAGAGGTATGATGCTAATTTAGTTCCTGACTCTCAAATCCAATGTTCTTCACTTTACAGTGCTGTGTGACTTTTATTTTAAGAACATAGCTTTGCTGCCACACAGTTGAGATGATAGAAGTAGGTTCTTTTGGCTATAATAGTTATGTCTTAGCCCAAGAAATGAGAAAGTTAAAGAACAAGGTGATCGGACACAACAGGCCGAGAACATTTTGAGGGAGACAACAGCATGTTCTCTATTAACTGGGAGCTCCTTGGACTCAGGAGTCATAGCTGCCCAAAGGCTGGCAGTGCTGTGACCAGAGAAGTCATTTAGCCTGATTTAGTCAACTCTGAGAGAAGACTGGATTGCCTCCTTTTTCTGTGTCCCAGAGCAGACAAAACATGGCTTTGTCTTCTGAGGATACGTGGGCCATGAAGACAGATATTGAACAGCCCCTTTAGGGGAGCGAGAAGGTTGATTTGGCAGCATGAGAATGCAGAGAGCAGCCTGCTGTCTTGCTGGGTCTGAAATGACCTTTGTGTGCATGAAATGAGGGATACTGACCATGGCTGTTGGAGGCCAGTAGGCCCGAAGAGGTAGAAGAGAACAAGTGCTAGAAAGTAGGCTTTTGATCTCCCCCAGGATGCTGATAAGCAAAGCCCATTTTCCCTTTCCTCTGATGAAAAGCTTTATTGTGGCCTTCACTCATTGTGAATCACGATGTTAGAGTGGCATTGTTCTGTCTCTCAGCTTGCTAGAGATTGCTGTGTGAGGTCTGAGCTGATGCCCCAAAGTCCCTCTGGAGTCCCTGATTTGCCAAGACCAAGCTAGCAGAACTGTGGGGGAAGTGATAGGCCTGTCCATCTCCAAAGCCTCCTTTGGATTCAGCAGTTAATTTCTGGGTTCTGCATTTGACACAGATTGAAATGGTTTCTTAAAAATAATTTTTTATTTTTTTTTGAGACAGTCTCACTCTGTCATATTGAGCTTCTATTTAAAATGTTGCTTGATTAAAAGGCTCATGGCTTAAAATTATGGTTTGACAAACTCTATTCTAATTCAAATCCTCCATGGAGGCAATGTTGATCTAAATGAATTCTTATAGAAATTCTTCATCTAAATAGAGATGTTGAGCTTTTAGAGGGCAATCTGTTCTTTTTAATTCTGCCTGAATTTTATCCATGTAGTAGAATGTTTACAGGATTCTCTACAAGTATATGTATATTTTAATATGCGCACATAATACACACACATACATATGTATATTTGTAAGGCTAGGTTCCAGTGCTCACATCTTTAAAGAAGCAGTTGAGGCCGGGCACAGTGGCTCACGCCTGTAATCCCAGCACTTTGGGAGGCTGAGGCAGGTGGATCACAAGGTCAGGAGACTGAGACTATCCTGGCCAACGTGGTGAAATCTCTTCTCTACTAAAAACACAAAAAATTAGCTGGGCGTGGTGATGCACGCCTATAGTCCCAGCTATTCAGGAGGCTGAGGCAGTAGAATCACTTGGACCTGGGAAGTGGAGGTAGCAGTGAGCCAACATAGCCCCACTGCACTCCAGCCTGGTGACAGAGCAAGACTCTGTCTCAAAAAAAAAAGAAACAATTGATATCCTTCTATCTAGAAGTAATCTTGCATTACATTTTAGTGTACTACTTAATGTTTTATTTTTCTCTTAAAGTTATTTCACTTGCTTTGAAGTGTAACTAGTTGTGTATATTTCTTTCTCTGCTATACTCTAAGCTTTTTAAGGTCTAAGACACTTAACTCTTTATCTTTGTAACCTCTGTAACTCCTAGTGATGTGCTCTGCTACACATGCAGTTAAGGGATCAGTTGTTTATTTGAAAAGAATCATGAAGTAGAAAAACAATTGATGTGGTGGCACAGTTGTTAAGAGTATAGTATGTTATTATGAAGCCAAAATTTCATGCTTGGGCCTCATAAGAATCTAATTTGTGTCTCATAGGCCGGGCACAGTGGTTCATGCCTGTAATCCCAGCACTTTGGGAGGCTTTTCATAAGAAAAATGTCACATGACCAGGACTGTGGCTTGGCCAACTAGCTCACAGATGTATGCTGTTGTTCACAAGATGGGACAGAGAAGACGGTACTGATGGCTCAGTACAAATTAACTTCCATCACTGATAAAAACAACTTTAGCTATATTTAGCTATAGGGCTTATAATACAAGGCCAGCAATGTCAGTGGTATGAAGGACTGCATGTGGGTGAGATGCTAGAGACCACTTTGGCACTAATAATCTAGAACACTGGTTGTTAACATGGACTATTGAGTCTTTTTAATTAATTTATTTATTTTTGAGATGGAATTTTGCTCTCATTGCACAGGCTGGAGTGCAATGACACGCTTTCAGCTCACTGAAACCTCCACCTCCCGAGTTCAAGCGATTCTCCTGCCTCAGCCTCCCAAGTAGCTGGGATTACAAACGTACCACCACGCCTGGCTAATTTTTTGTGTTAGTAGAGAAAGGGTTTCTCCATGTTGGTCACGCTGGTCTCAAAATCCTGACCTCAGGTAATCTGCCCACCTCAGCCTCCCAAAGTTCTGGGATTTCAGGCATGAGCCACTGCGCCCGGCCAACTACTGAGTCTTGACAGAACTCAAATGCAAATTAAATTGAATTGAATGTATGAAGACGAGGGTCAGGGAAGGTAGCCATATGGATAACCAGTCAGTAAGAGAAATGTGAGCATTGGCAGATTTGTATGGTTCACGCGCCCACTTCTCGATGTCAAATCATTTTCTAATTGTAAACTGACAGGAAAGAGATATGGTATGTTGAGTGACATAATTCAGCCAACATTTATTGAATGTCTATATGGTATTACTATCTGTAAAACTATCTAGAAGATATTAAGATTCATAAAATGTAGCCTTTTACTTCCAAGAACCTATAATTCTCCTTGAGAGTCCTGTTTCACAAATTCTTCACTACATGGGTGGACATGGTCAACTTTCAGTGCACTTGAGGTTGAGATTTCTCAGCAGTTATCACTGTTTTGCATCTTAAATGACAGTTCGCTTCCAGAATCTGTCCCACCCTTTATGTCTTCCACTCTTCATCTCTGGTCTGCACACTTAGAGCTAGGGGAATGGTTACGTTCTCTCTAGTTTTGCTCATGGTAATTTTGGTGACCAGGGAGCTGCTAAAAAATTTCTTTAAAAAGACACAGAAAATGGGTGATGAGTTTATGTGTTACAAAAATTATTGCATGGAAACTTGACTTAATTTAGGTCCCTGTGGGAAGTATTAGAAGATGATATTTAAGTATATTATAATTTGTTGATAGGCACTAATGACCTTAGTGAAACTTCACTCTTAACCAGTGATTAGGATTTACAGTGGGCATAACGGGACCCTAATTAATGGAGGTATTTTTGTGCTTCTTTGCTGTTGCCCTTGTTCATTCTTTAACCATGACACAAACAACAGGTTGTTTTAGCTTTTGGATTAAGTGGTCCTCTGCACATAAATGATACTTTTGTCACCTTGCATTTATTTATTTAGAGACAGAGTCTTGCTCTATCGCTCAGGCTGGAGTGCAGTGGTACGATCTTGGCTCACTACAAACTCTGCCTCCTGGGTTCAAGCAATTCTCCTGCCTCAGTATCCCGAGTAGCTGGGATTACAGCCACCCACCACCATGCCTGGCTGATTTTTGTATTTTTAGTAGAGAAGTAGAGACGGGGTTTCACCATGTTGGCCAGGCTGGTCTTGAGCTCCTGGCCTCAAGTGATCTGCCTGCCTCCGCCTCCCAAAGTGCTGGGACTACAGTGAGCAAGCACGACTGGTTGTACTTTGCTTTTAAATAGTACTTATATGAAGATTTTGAGGGGCAGGGATGTCTTTTGACCTCTCTGCAAACAATATGGAAGAAGTTGCTTTTCTTGTTGACACTGCCTTTGTCCTCCTTCAATAATTAAAAAGGCTGTAATTTTTAAATTTGTGGGGAAATTGGGTGTTTGTTGGTTAATTGGCAATATCTACGTGCCACAGTTAGTCCCATTATGCTTCAATTATGTTAATTAAACTCTTGTCCTGGAGAGCAGGCATTCATTTATTTTTCTTCCCTGCATCCCTCCAGCTATGCATCTGGAAGCCGCTTCCTTGTGGTTTTGTGAGCACATGGCGCAGAATCCTTGTTTTTCATTTGTATGTCCCCAGCACAGTTCTGGCATATAATGTATACTTGATAAATATTTGTCGAATTGAATCAAACAGGTAGAGACAGAGTTTGGAAAATCCATAATGGTAACTCCAGTGATTTC